TTCTTCTTCTTCTACCTTCTTCTTCTTTAAATCTCAGTTGTTACTGCTGTGTTTTCTCACTGTCTTCTATTCTTTTCTGGACATAATGATGAGATGAAGAAATTCACCCCAAAAGGAAGAACAGGAGGTAATACTCACTGAAGATATTAATCAATACAGATATAAGTAAAATGTCTGCCCCTATAGGGGCACATGGGTCATTCTTTGTTAAGCATCTTCCTTTGTCTCAAGTCATGATCTCAGGGTCCTGGGATTGAGCTCCACATCAGGCTACCTGTTCAGCAAAGAGTCTGCCTCTCTCCCTCCTTCTGCCCCTTCCCACCCTTCCTGTGCTCTCTATCTATCTCTATCTCTCTCAAATAAATAAATGAAATCTATTTAAAAAATAATTATTATAAATACACTAGCTGGGCTTGAAAAAAACATAGAAGACACTTGAGAATTCTTTACTGCAGAAATAAAATAATTAAATCTAATTAGGCTGAAGTTAAAATGCTATTACTGAGATGCAGTCATATATGGAGGCTCTAAAAGGAAAGGAAGAACAAGGCAAAAGAGATAGCCAGTGATATAGAAGATAAAATGATGGAAAATTTTAAAATGCTAGAAAGAAGAGAGAAAGACAACTACTGGATCATAAAGGGAGACTCTAAGAACTCAGCAATTCCATAAAGTGAAATAATATCAACTTATAGGGGTCCCTGAAGATGAGGGGGGGCACAGAATGTTTACTTGAACAAATTATAGCTAAGAACTTTCCTAATCTGAGAAAGGGAACAGGCATTCAAGCCCAGGAGACACAGACAACCCCCCTCAAAATAAATAAGTATGTCAATATCTCAATATATAATAATGATGCTTGCAAATATCAGAGATAAAGAGAAAATCCAGAAAGCAGCTCAGGACAAGAGATCCTTAATCTGCAAGTGTAGACACATAAGGCTGGCAGCAGACTAGTCCAGAGAGACCTGCCAGGCCAGAAAGACTAGCATGATATATTCAGAATACTACGTGGGAAAAAATATGCAGACAAGAACATTTTATCCTGAAAGGCTGTCATTCAGAACAGAAAACAAAAACAAAAACAAAACAAAACAAAAACTAAAGGAATATATGAACACTAAACTAGCCCTGCAAGAAATATTACATGGGATCCTTTGAGCAAAGAGATAACACAAAAGTGACAACGAGCAGAAAAGAAAGGAGACATTCTACAGAAACAGTGACTTTATGTGTAATGTAATAGCACTGTATTCATATTTTTCAAGAATTACTCTGAATATAAATGGACTGAATGCGAGAATTAAAAGGCAAAGGTTGGGTCGTCTGGGTGGCTGTGTTGGTTAAGTGTCTTCCTTCAGCTCAGGTCATGATCTCAGGATCCGGGGATCATGCCCCATGTCAGACTCCCTATGCAGTGGGGAGTCCACTTCTCACTCTCCCTCTGCCCCTCCCCCTGCACATGCACATTCTCTCCCTCTTCCTCTTTCTCTCTCTCTCTCACTCTCTCTCAAATAAATAAATAATATTTTTAAAAAAGACATAGGTTATCAGACTGCATAAAAAACAGAGGACACATGTATATACTGGGTACAAGAGACTTGTTTTAGACCCAAAGACATCTCCACATTGAAAGTGGGGGGGGGGTGGACAAATATTTATCATCCTAATAGACATCAAAAGAATTCATTCCTAATATTAGACAAACTAGATTTTAAACCAAAGACTGTAATAAGAGGGAAGAGTCAAGATGGCGGAGAAGTAGCAGGTTGAGATGACATCAGGTAGCAGGAGATCAGCTAGATAGCTCATCTAACCATTGCGAACACCTACAAATCCAAAGGGAAATTGAAGAGAAGAAGAGCAACAATTCTAGAAACAGAAAATCGATCACTTTCTGAAAGGTAGGACCTGCACAGAAGTGAATCCAAAGTGAAGGGAAGATAGACCGCGGGGGGGGGAGGGGCCAGCTCCCGGCAAGTGGTGGAGCAATGGAACACAAAATCAGGACTTTTAAAAGTCTGCTTCATGGAGGGACATAGCTCCAGAAGCTAAATCGGGGGGATGCCCACGTGGGGTCAGCGTAACCCCAGGTCCCGCGGGGTCACAGAAGGACTGGGGGTGTCTGAGTGTCACAGAGCTCGCAGGTATTAGAGCAGGGAAGCCGGCTACAGCGACAAAGCCAAGGAGTGAGCTCTCAGCTCGGGGTTACCTTGAACCGGTCACAGGCAGGGTGAGCTCAGAGCGTGGCCAGAGGCTACGGAGATGGAAGGGACCGGGCACTTTTCTCCAAGTGTGAGCGATTAAGCGCTTTCCTCCAAGCACGACCAGAGGCCAGGGAGATGGGGGCCATTGGGCGTTTTCTCTGAGGGCGCACTGAGAAGCGAGACCCCAAGCTCTCAACACCTCCGGGCTGGAGATTGGGAGGCCGCCATCTTCATTCTGGTCTTCCAGAACTCTATGGAAAGTGCTTAGAGAACAAAAGCTCCCAAAAGCAAAACTGAGCGGATTACTTAGCCCGGCCCCTGGTAAGGGCGGTGCAATTCTGCCTGGGGCAAAGACACTTGAGAATCAGTACAACAGGCCCCACCCCCAGAAGATCAACAAGAAACCCAGTCAAGACCAACTTCACTCACCAAGGAGAGCAGCAGAATTCCAGAGGAGGAGAAAGCAAATCTTATCTGGACAAAACGACAAGGCAGAAAAACTCACCACTAAAGAAAGAACAAGAGGTAGTACCGAAGGCTAGGGATGTAATCAGTACAGACATTGGTAATATGACAGATGTAGAGTTCAGAATGATGATTCTCAAGGTTCTAGACGGGCTCGAAAAAGGCATAGAAGATATTAGAGAAACGCTCTCGGGAGAGATAAAAGCCCTTTCTGGAGAAATAAAAGAACTAAAATCTAACCAAGTTGAAATAAAAAAAGCTATTAATGAGGTGCAATAAAAAATGGAAGCCCTTACTGCTAGGATAAATGAGGCAGAAGAAAGAATTAGTGACATAGAAGATCAAATGACAGAGAATAAAGAAGCTGAGCAAGAGACAAATACTGTACCATGAGGAAAGAATTCGAAAGATAAGTGACACCATAAGACGACGCAACATTAGAATAATTGGGATTCCAGAAGAAGAAGAAAGAGAGAGGGGAGCAGAAGGTATATTGGAGAGAATTATTGTAGATAATTTCCCTAATATGGCAAATGGAACAAACATCAAAATCCAGGAGGTTCAGAGAACCCCCCTCAAAATCAATAAGAATAGGTCCACACCCCGTCACCTAATAGTAAAATTTAACAAGTCTAAGCGACAAAGAGAAATCCTGAAAGCAGCCCAGGACAAGAAGTCTGTAACATACAAGGGTAAAAACATTAGATTGGCAGCAGACCTCTCCACAGAGACCTGGCAGGCCAGAAAGAACTGGCATGATATATTCAGAGCAATAAACGAGAAAAACATGCAGCCAAATATACTATATCCAGCTAGGCTATCATTGAAAATAGAAGGAAAGATAAAAAGCTTCCCAGGACAAACAAAAACTGAAAGAATTTGAAAACACCAAACCAACTCTACAGGAAATATTGAAAGGGGTCCTCTAAGCAAAGAAAGACCCTAAAGTAGTAGATTAGAAAGAAAGAGAGACAATATACAGTAACAGTCACCTTACAGGCAATACAATGGCACTAAATTCATATCTCTCAATATTTACCCTGAATGTTAACGGGCTAAATGCCCCAATCAAAGGACACAGGGTATCAGAATGGATAAAAAAAAACAAACAAGCAAACATCAATATGCTGCCTACAAGAAATTCATATTAGACCTGAAGACACCTCCAGATTTAAAGTGAGGGGGTGGAAAACAATGTACCATGCTAATGGACATCAGAAGAAAGCTGGGGTGGCAATCCTTTTATCAGATCAATTAGATTTTAAGCGAAAGACTATAATAAGAGATGAGGAAGGACACTATATCATACTCAAAGGGTCTGTGCAACAAGAAGACCTAAAAATTTTAAATATCTATGCCCCTAACATGGGAGACCCAACTATATAAACCAATTAATAACAAGATCAAAGAAACACATCGACAATAATATAATAATAGTAGGGGACTTTAACACTTCCCTCACTGAAATGGACAGATCATCTAAGCAAAAGATCAATAAGGAAATAAAGGCCTGAAATGACACACTGGACCAGATGGACATCACAGATGCATTCAGAACATTACATCCCAAAGCAACAGAATATACATTCTTCTCTAGTGCACATGGAACATTCTCCAGAATAGACCACATCCTGGGTTATAAATTAGGTCTCAACCAGTATCAAAAGATTGGGATGATTCCCTGCATATTTTCAGACCACAATGCTCTGAAGCTAGAACTCAATCACAAGAGGAAATTTGGAAAGAACCCAAATACATGGAGACTAAACAGCATCCTTCTAAAGAATGAATGGGTCAACCAGGAAATTAAAGAAGAATTGAAAAAATTCATGGAAACAAATGAAAATGAAAACACAACGGTTCAAAATCTGTGGGACACAACAAAGGCAGTCCTGAGAGGAAAATATATAGCGGTACAAGCCTTTCTCAAGAAACAAGAAAGGTCTCAGGTACACAACCTAACCCTACACCAAAAGCAGCTGGAGAAAGAACAAGAAAGAAACCCTAAACCCAGCAGGAGAAGAGAAATCATAAAGATCAGAGCAGAAATCAATGAAATAGAAACCAAAAGAACAATAGAACAAATCAAAGAAACTAGGAGCTGGTTCTTTGAAAGAATTAATAAGATTGACAAACCCCTGGCCAGACTTATCAAAAAGAAAAGAGAAAGGACCCAAATAAATAAAATCATTAATGAAAAAGGAGAGATCACAACCAACACCAAAGAAATACAAACAATTAAGGAACATACTATGAGCAACTCTACGCCAACAAATTTGGCAATCTAGAAGAAATGGATACATTTCTAGAGATATATGAACTACCACAACTGAACCAGGAAGAAATAGAAAACCTGAACAGACCCATAACCAGTAAGGAGATTGAAACAGTCATCAAAAATCTCCAAACAAACAAAAGCTCAGGGCCAGATGGCTTCCCGGGGGAATTCTACCAAACATTTAAAGAAGAACTAATTCCTATTCTCCTGAAACTGTTCCCAAAAATAGAAATGGAAGGAAAACTTTCCCAAGTCATTTTATGAGGCATCACCTTGATCCCAAAACCAGACAAGGATCACACCAAAAAAGAGAATTACAGACCAATATCCTTGATGAACACAGATGCGAAAATTCTCACCAAAATACTGGCCAATAGGATCCAACAGTACATTAAAAGGATTATTCACCACGACCAAGTGGGATTTACTCCAGGGCTGCAAGATTGGTTCAACATCCGCAAATCAATCAATGTGATACAATACATTAATAAAAGAAAGAATAAGAACCATATGATACTCTCCATAGATGCTGAAAAAGCATTTAACAAGGTGCAGCATCCCTTCCTGATTAAAACTTTTCAAAGTGTAGGGATAGAGGGCATATACCTCAATATTATCAAAGCCATCTATGAAAAACCCACCGCAAATATCATTCTCAATGGAGAAAAACTGAAAGCTTTTCGCTAAGGTCAGGAACACAGCAAGGATATTCATTATCACCACTGCTATTCAACATAGTACTAGAAGTCCTAGCCTCAGCAATCCGACAATAAAAAGAAATTAAGGGCATCCAAATCAGCAAAGAAGAAGTCAAACTATCACTCTTTGCAGATGATTTGATACTCTATATGAAAAACCCAAAAGACTCCACTCCAAAACTGCTAGAACTCATACAGGAATTCAGTAAGGTGTCAGGATATAAAATCAATGCACAGAAATCAGTTGCATTTCTTTACACCAACAACAAGACAGAAGAAAGAGAAATTAAGGAGTCAATCCCATTTACAACTGCACCCAAAACCATAAGATACCTAGGAATAAAGCTAACCAAAGAGGCAAAGAATCTATACTCAGAAAACTATAAAGTACTCATGAAAGAAACTGAGGAAGACACAAAGAAATGGAAAAAATGTTCCATGCTCCTGGATTGGAAGAACAAATATTATGAAAATGTCTATGCTACCTAAAGCAATCTACACATATAATGCAATCCCTATCAAAATCCCATCCATTTTTTTCCAAAGAAATGGAACAAATAATCCTAAAATTTATATGGAACCAGAAAAGACCTCAAATAGCCAAAGGAAAATTGAAAAAGAAAACCAAAGTTGGTGGCATCACAATCCCGGACTTCAAGCTCTGTTAAAAAGCTGTCATCATCAAGACAGTATGGTACTTGCACAAAAAGAGACACATAGATCAATGGAACAGAATAGGGAGCCCAGATATAGACCCTCAACTCTATGGTCAACTAATCTTCAACAAAGCAGGAAAGAATGTCCAATGGATAAAAGACAGCCTCTTCAACAAATGGTGTTGGGAAAATTGGACAGCCACATGCAGAAAAAAGAGAATGGACCATTTCCTTACACCACACAAGAAAACAGACTCAAAATGGATGAAGGACCTCAATGTGAGAAAGGAATCCATCAAAATCCTTGAGGAGAACACAGGCAGTAACCTCTTCAACCTCAGCCGCAACAACTTCTTCCTAGGAACATCGCCAAAGGCAAGGGAGCAAGGGCAAAAATGAACTATTGGGATTTCATCAAGATCAAAAGCTTTTGCACAGCAAAGGAAACAGTTAACAAAACCAAAAGACAACTGACATAATGGGAGAAGGTACTTGCAAACGACATATCAGAAAAAGGGCTAGTATCCAAAATCTATAAAGAGCTTAGCAAACTCAACACCCAAAGAGCAAAGAATCCAAACAAGAAATGGGCAGAGGACATGAACAGACATTTCTGCAAAGAAGACATCCAGATGAACAACAGACACATGAAAAAGTGCTCCACATCACTCAGCATCGGGGAAATAGAAATCAAAACCATGATGAGATACCACCTCACACCAGTCAGAATGTCTAAAATTAACAAGTCAGGAAATGGAAGAAGCTGGCGAGGATGCGGAGAAAGGGGAACACACCTACACTGTTGGTGGGAATGCAAGCTGGTGCAACCATTCTGGAAAACAGCATGCAGTTTCCTCAAAAAGTTGAAAATAGAGCTACCCTATGACCCAGCAATTGCACTGCTGGGTATTTACCCTAAAGATACAAACATAGTGATCCGAAGGGGCATGTGCACCCGAATGTTTATAGCAACAATGTCCACAATAGCCAAACTATGGAAAGAACCTAGATGCCCATCAACAGATGAATGGAAAAAGAATATGTGGTAT